GAAGACGGGGCAAGGAGGGGTGGCCAAGACGGTGGTGCCACAGGAGAGTCTCGTGAGACAGGAGGCGACAAGAACAGGGGGCAGACTCAGGACCTGACCGGGACGCAGCAGCAAGCACCTGACCCGACGCAGCCACCTGACCAGACGCAGGGACAGGAGGAGACTCAACGGTCAGGGTGTAGAGACTCGACCCCGGCCGACGCGAGAACGTGGCCAGGTGTCGGCCTGTGCGAGCCTCCGTGCAGTGGGTCACCCGCTGACGCGCAGGAGTGAACTGGTGAACACCCCCATCCTGCAGGTCAGCTCCACTCACCAAGTTCGTAGAGAACGAGGGAAGGTACAGACCCGACAGGGTGCCCGAAGGGGCAGCCGGACACGGGAGGACAGTGGAGAAGTGAGACAGGACAGGACCCCCAGAGGGGTCAGCAAGGGAGACCGCAACCGGCCTGGCGAGCGGCGAAAGGGTAGTGCGGTCTCGAAAGAAGGAGCGAGAAGCTCCGGAGTCAAGTGTGAAAGTGAGGGAGGACGAGGACGACTCAGTACCTGAGAACGCAGTCTCACCAGTACCTGAGAGCGCAGACGCACTGGCACCTAGAGCAGCAGCCTCACAAGTACCTAGCGCAGCAGTACCAATGCCCGGGTCGGGCTGGAAACACCGGTAACCCTCATTCTCCTCACTATAATCCACAACATACATAGCAGTAAGGATAGCATCAAAATCAAGATCAAAGATCGCTACACCAACCCTGAGAAGCTCATCCCAGCGAGGGATCTCACTAGCCCCAGGGAACTGCTGACGCCAAGCGTCCGTCAGGCGGCCAAAGCAGCGCTGGGTGGCGTGGGCACCCCCACACTGCTCACCCGCGCGGTCGCCGGAACGAAGAACGTAGGTGCAGGGACCAGTGCCCCCACCCCTCTGACGCCCAGCGTACCACTCACGAAGCTGCTGAGGCGAAGGGATGTCCCGTGAGCGCTGCTGCTGCTGCCGGTGCGAGCGCTGGCCACCACCACCGCCGCTACGCTGCTGGGTACCACCCCGACCAGCTCCACCTCCTCCACCACTACTGCCTCCGCCGCTGCCGCCTCCACTGCCTCCACCTCCGCCACCTCCACCTCCGCCGCTGCCTCCACCACCACCGCTGGCACCACCACCACCGTCTCCGCCGCTGCTGCCACCACCACCACCACCACCCCCGCCACTAGTCCCGCCGCCACCCCCACTCCCTCCGCCGCCACCGCCGCCACCGCCACCGCCCCCCCCAGCTCCACCCGCGCCCTTGCCTCCCTTGCCCTTGCTGGAGCGACGTCTCCCACTAGGGGCAGACGCCGCGCCGACCGACTCAAGACCAAGCAGGTCGGCAGCAGCAGCAGAGGCAACAGAGGGCAGCAAGGGGGAAGGAGAGCACCCCTCAAAGATGGGGGTGCGAGGGTCACCACGAGAAGCACCTACAGCGACTATGCTCTTCTCCGCTGCAAGGAGGGCCTTCTCGAGGAGGTCGACGGTGAGAGTGGTGGGACAGACTGCGAGAAAGTGGTCCCTGACGACGCGAAGGGAGTCAGGGAGGCGCGCGACTACGTAGTAGAGAGCGATGTACATGGGAGGGGGGTTCCTAGCGCAGAACTCAGCAGGAAGGGCGGCGCGGTAGCGAGTGTCACTAGTGCGGAGGTGCGTAATGAGGTCAGCGACAGTGGGAAAGGCAGAGAGGTCAGGAAAGAGGTAGGGAAGCATGAGACGGCTCAGTGCAGCAGTGGCAGGGGAGGAGTAGCGCGCAACTACAGCGTCGTACAAGGTCTGAGCACTCTTGTACTGACTAAAGTGCGCGCGCTCAGAGGTAGGGAGGTGGCGACGCACAGCAAGACGTGCAGCAGCATCGCGGGTGGCCCACTTAGAGCGGACAGTGGGATCAGCATCAGCAGCAGGAGCAGGAGAGGCGCCAGAGGTGAGGTCAAAGAGAGAAAGGTCATCAGCCCTGTCGCACTGTAAGAACAGCTGCAGGTCGTCTAGCCAGACCTCAAAATCAATGGCGCGACCCTCAGCGTCAAAAGCTAGGACACTAGGGGTAGCCATGACGACGACTGTGAAGCAGTGTAAGCAGTAGGGGGGAGAGCACGCAGTGACAGTGGGACTGTGCTCACCAGGCAGGGCAGGTCGCGCAGCTCGACAGAAAAGCAGAACGGCGACCGGGCGGCTCGGGTGTACAGCGGCTCGGCTCCCGGGCGGCTCGACGGCAGGGCGGCTCGGGTGCAGGGCGGCTCGGCTCCCGGGCGGCTCGGCTGCAGGGCGGCTCGGGTGCAGGGCGGCTCGGCTCACGGGCGGCTCGGCTGCAGGGCGGCTCGGGTGCAGGGCGGCTCGGCTCCCGGGCGGCTCGGCTGCAGGGCGGCTCGGGTCCCAGGCTGCTCGGCGACAGGCGGCTCGGGTCGCGTAGAAGTGAGACGGGGCGGGGCCGCGTCAGGGCCGGCGGTAGGGCCGCGTAGGAGCCGGGGTTGGGCCGCGAAGGAGGCCGGCGGTGGGGCCGCTTAAGGGGCCGGCTGCGGGGCCGAGTAGGAGCCAGCTGCGGGGCCGCGTGAGAGCCGGCGCGGGGCCGCGTAGGAGCCGGCGGCGTGGCCGCGTCAGGGCCGCGTAAGGGGGGGGGCCGGCGCGGGGCCGCGTAAGAGCCGCGTAGGAGCCGGCGCGGAGCCGCGTAGGGGCCGGGGACGGGCCGCGTAAGGAGCCGGCGCGGGGCCGCGTAGGAGCTGGCGGCGTGGCCGCGTAAGGGCCGCGTAAGGGCCGCGTAAGGGGCCGGCGCGGGGCCGCGTAAGGAGCCGGCAGCGTGGCCGCGTAAGGGCCGCGTAAGGGCCGCGTAAGGGGCCGGCGCGGGGCCGCGTAAGGGCCGCGTAGGAGGCGACGCGGGGCCGCGTAAGGGCCGGGGCGGGGCCGCGTAAGGAGCAGGCGGCGGGGCCGCGTAAGGAGCAGGGCGGGGCCGCGACAGAGTGGGCGGCGAGGCCGCAGGGGAGAGGGCGACTCGAGGGGTCGCTAAAAAAATCGCGCCTCGGGGGCGCGCTTCGGTGGGCCCAAAAAAAATTTCGGTCCTGGAGGGACCTAGCTCTATACCATGTGAAAATGAGTAAGCAGGAATAGGTGAACTATGAATGAAAGCAGTACAAATATGAAACCCTAACTGGGTTGTACCCCCTATGGGATACCCCACTACAGCCTACACAGCAGTATAAGCTATAGATATGTTTTGACAGGGGCCCCACACAATTGATCTCTTTGCTAACGTTCGAAACAATCACGTTCAACGCTTCTGCTCTAAGATATCGCACCCAGACGCGTTCGCTGTTGACGCATTTTCCATCTCGTGGAAAGGCGAGCGATGCTTTGCCTTCCCGCCTCCACACTTAATTCCCGCTACACTCCGCCATGCGGAACTGACGCAGACCGAACTTATGCTCGTTGCTCCCCAGTAGACCAGAGCGTCATGGTGGCCGCTTCTCCAACCGTCCACTCAATCGTGGGCTCCGGCAGTAGTAGAGCACCTCTCTCTTGCCCAGGGCAGTCAATGCCTTAGGGCAGGTTCACACACCGCTGCATTCTCTGGGCTCGGATTGCCTCATAGCCCAATCATTGCTTTGCGTGTAAACTATGCGGTCTAATAAAAAATTCTCAATGTGTCATGTCAGGACTTTTGACCAAACTACAGCAACAATTGATGCAAGTAATTAGCCACGTTCCTGCACCATCTACAATCGATACGTACCAACCTTATTAGCAAAGGTTTCGCACCTTTTGCACCAAAGTTAAGCTCGAGTTCCTGCCGGAAACCGACTTGACGCTAGCGCTGTATCGCATCCATGTGCTCACCAACAAAGCAACCCTCCCCGCGATCAACACCCGTATGAAATGATAACGCTGCCTTTGCAAGTCAGCCTAAGTAAACTTTCACAATTGCAATATATTATAGTGAAAATTGAAATACCGGAACATTTCTACCCTTGCGACACGTGAATTCTTCCACGTGCTGACTCACATACTACCAAATTTGACTTTGCAAGTATACAGGATGACGTGGCGTCCCGAACAATTTGCCAAAGTGGCACCTTCTCAACATCGACACTCTTAATGAGAAACTCTTTTCAAGATGCGTGAAAATATGTCTAGGTAGTTTAAAAAGGTTTCCATTTATAAAACTTATTAAACACCCAAAACCTTCCCAAATACAAGATAACCTAAGCTTTTTTTTAGTGTATCCAGGTGGCGTTAAGGTATCCTGCTACATGTTTCTTCACCCAAGGTCAGATGGATGTGTTTGAATGACAGTTTTCATCTATCTTCTCGTATATGGCAACTGAACATACAGTTGAAGAACCATCATGATGCCCATAGACAGCGATTTGATTCTGAACCTGTCCTTAGTGGGTAAATACTGGTGACTATAGAACAGTGTGGAGGGAAATGGTTGTGGTTTTTGGCATTACTCTGCTGCCTTCTCCACGACAGCAGGAGCAGCCGCAGGCTCTGCTGGCTTCTCTGCTACGGGTCTGTAACGCACAGTAACACGTGTAAGGACACAGACAGTCACATTGCACAACAGTTGGAACGGATTTGTTATTCTGAAACAACTGACTGGCACAGACGACATTACTCACATGCAGGACAGGGGATGTAAGCTGGATAACACTTCACAAGGCAGAAGTGGAATGGACACGCGAACTATGAGTGTTTGACAGAAAAACTGGCGAAAATTTCAACCTGAAGCATTAAGTTAGATGTGATGTGAAGGAACTCTTGACATTGTCAGCAGGAGGCGGACTTACTCTGAAAGGGCCCATCGCGAGAGGTGGATGAGTTGGACGGTCTCGTTGGCGGAATGGCAGGATTTGACTTTTGCGTCGACTAAATAACGTCACCTCGATATTGTCATGAGAGTAGCGGACGAGAGGGCCTAGCGTGAGAACTGAATGCCATTTGAGTCGACTCAAAGGCCACCTTGATATTGTCATGAAAGAAGCGGACTCACTCTGAGAGGGCCCATCGCGAGAGCTGGATGAGTTGGACGGTCTCGTTGGCGGAGTGGCAGGAGAAGAGGAGGTAGTTGCGGGGCTGTACGCGCCAGGCGAAGCGCATGAACAGCGCGGAGTACACGCACATGACTGTTGTCGGAACAATTTAGGGCGGGAAGTTGGATGTGGGAAGGTGGAGAGAAGGGGGGGAATGGGGGGAGAAGGGACGAAGAGGGATGAGACGAGAAGCTTGGGACAAATCACTGGCCGTCAGTCTCCAGTGAGATTGTACGTGAGCGCGTCTTACCAGCAATCCACCGCCACCCAGAATACCCGCTATGTGATTTACTACGAAAAATCGACCGAGACGAGGGAAAGAGAAGGAACCAATGGCATCACGGCAGTTGATCTGACGGTACGGCTTAAAAAACGAACATCCTAGCAAAAGAATTGGCGAAACTGGTGACGGTACTGCGATCTTGAAGCGCACGACTCCCATTTCTGTGTTCTCATAGTAATTTCTTCATGGAATCGTCGACAACAAAAACCAGAATCACTGATTCCAACGCCTTGAGCCACCTGATGTCCGAAGCTAGGGAGCAAATGACCACGATTTTTTTAAACGAACAGGGTGGTCAGCTATTCAAACAGACCTGATGTCATTTTTGGCGAGATCATGTCTACCGGCTTTTGCATGTCCACTAGTCCCTGAATACCAAAAACATCACGGGAAAATAAACAACAAAGCACATGAAATACATTATCAGGAAAAATGCAGTACATGGAGACGTAGCTGATAGTATTTAACCCTGGGGCCTGAACGCGCGAGGATCTCGTCCTTACCGCAATGACGAAGCCCCAGTTGGCCAAGGGACCCCAGAAGTGCGACGTCTTGGGACCCACTGGGCTGTTCCAGAACGCCTTCAACGCTGCTGATGTCATGGTGGCTTGTCAACAAACTAGTCCTGACAAACGTATGTGACAGATACTACCAGCTGCAACAAGCTCCGCGAAGACCACCCAGCAATGACTCAACAGCGAGAACACGCTGCTGAAACTGGTCCCTTCCTGGTTAGGACGGGATGGTGCTGCTATGGTGTGTAGGTACCTGTAGGTTGGAATGTAGGGCTAAAATCCACCCACAAAAATTTACTCCGTTCAAAAGGAGGTACTGATGGAGGCTGCAAACCATTGGTTCTGTGGTGCTGAACACACAGATGGAGTGCCGTGGGTTAGGGAAGGGTGCTTTACGATGTGGTGTGGTTGAAGGAAGGAGGAGGGAAAAGTTTAGCGGGGGCTGTGATTGGTTAAACAGGGGACAATGCCTGTCTTGTTGCCCTGGGGCTGGTTCGTCAAGAAAAGACACCCGGAGGATGGAGTTTTGAATTTTCCGGAAAGGAAGGGCATGCATCGTCATTATTGCTAAGAGTGCGTAATTCCAATCCGCGTGGATGGTTGGTGGTACCGTTTCAGAAGTACGGATTTTAGCGGGAATACATATTATGAGCAGCACCCCTGGGTGTTTCTGGAACTGATTGTCGTTCCCAGTCCATATCCTAGCCCCAAGAAACTGGACGAAACGCCAGCGCAACACACAAGAAGCAAACTGCATTGCCACGTCCAGCAAATGGCAATGACGAAAACAGAGCTGCACCCAGAGATTGGGGGATCTTTACACTGACAAGGGCTCCACGTCAGAGCGCGTAACTGTACTTGAACTAAGGTTACTTGATTATACATGTTATGAATGAACTTGCAGAGTGCGCAGAATATCTAATAACGAGAATGAACTGATTACTGAATTCAACTTGTGTCTAATACAATGAGAAAAGCACGACTAAATAGGGGAAGTCCTAGCTAGGCGGAGAGGTTGGGCAAGGATGGCTCGGTGATGGTTGCGATTGGTACGGAGGCGACTCGGGAGTGGTTCGGTGCGCCGAAATAGGAAGGACAGGTTCGTCGCGTGACCCTCGGGATGGCCTCCCTAACGAGTGCCCCAGTAAGGATTCTGTAAATCCTTACACTCTCCCACCTTCTAAAAAAGGCAGTCCTGTACTGAAACAGGCTCCACACTAGCGAGGATTCCGTAGATCTCCTCCGACGGCCGACATGCCTGTAACAATAATTTTGAAAAGGTTGGAACGGAGGCCGTTCGATGAAGTCCGATTCTGATCTGACGGTCGAAGACTGACGCAAGATTGGAGGGAACCTGCTGACGCGAATTCAAACGCGATTGAGGAGGGACCGTTGATCGTGTCGGTGTGATCGCGATCGTCCGTCGTGCTGACGCAACCTGACAAAGTCAGAAAGGACCGAGAAAAACACCAAGGAAAGAACAGTGCAAAGCACTTTCTCCCCCCCCTCCAAGAAAGCACACCAGAAAATGTTTCACAGCTGCGCCGAGATGAAAACCAACAAAAGCCAGGCGTCAAGTCCCACGAAGAAGAGTGTTGAGCGGAAAGTGGATGATGAAATCGGGTGTGACGTGCCCAAAAAGTCTTCAAGGGCCAACCCGCGTAAGTAGACCAGAAACCGAGGCGAAAATTATGCGTTGCTCGAACAGAATCAGTGGTGTCTGCACTGGTCGGAATCAGCTGATATCTTCAGTAGTTGCAGTTGGCAGCACCTGACGTGGTTGATATTGAATGCAATTGTCGTGGGCGGGTCGAAGGCGAGTTGTCGGTAGCAGAGTTGGAATGGTTTATCCGAAAAATTGTCGTAATGCGCCGAGAGTTCGAGGGCAGGGATGAAATTTTACAGCTGTCGCTCCCCCCCGTCACTGTTGCTGCCGCCTTCTTCAGTTCGTCGTAAGTCGTTCGTACCCCTTGAAAACTCCGTGTAGTTCCCGTGGTGTTGCGCTGCGTAAATGTCGCGCGCGTTTAACCAAACGCTGAATACTCCTCCGAAATTGTTGCCGCTTCTCGCCATAAAACCTGTGAAGTCCCGCGTAAACTCCGAAAATGTCGTTTGAACACAGCCCCGGAAATCCTCAGATGCAGGTGTAGTTTTTCTCCAAAAATCTCGGTTGTTCTATAGCCGCCCACTTGGTCACCATCAGTTTCCGTCGGTTACCCGACCCCAGCATGTGGGTTCAATCGAGAACCGGGGACTGCCCTGGGTCTTCCAAGACCGAAATTCACGGAACCTAGTGGCATCAACGCCGTTGACCTCGTCGTCGAAACTACTCCCGCCGATAGATATAACTGAAAACTACGCAAAACTCCCACTGGCGCTTTGCAGATGTTTCACCCATCGCTCGTCGCCGGTAAGTAAATCTAAAAACTTCGGCTGCTCCCACGCTCCCTTTTTACTGAAGAATTTCCCGTGGTGTACGTTTAAACACTAGTGGATTCCTGGTATCCTCGCCGCTGTGTTTCTTGCCAGGCGACTTAAAAGTGACCCTTCAGGCGAAGTCCCCCAACGGCTCAACCGTGACAAAATTAGAAGAAAGAAAGAGGATTGTACTAGCAAGAATGAGGATACAAATAGCAAACCCTAGAAGGGTTGTACTCGCTATAGAGCACCCCACTACAGGCTAGAACAATAAGATAATATTCTGACACACCCCCATAGCCAAAGTGGGGTGTAATCAGCAAAGCAGGCAAAGCAAAACAAGCTCAGGGTGGATCACAATGTCACCACACATTCTGAGCACAAGTTCAAGAAGAGATAGTTTAGAGTTCATAATTATAAGCAAAGCTAGTGGTAGTCACAACGGGCAAGTGAGGAGGAGGAGGGAGAGTGAGGGGAGAGGAGACAGGAGGCGACGGCTGAAGCTGCAGACACACGGGCAACAGGAGGCAGACTGGCACAGCGGCTACCGGACAGCGCCCGGACTACAGGAGTAACAGGCCCCGCGGCTCAAATAGCGGCGGACGGGCAACGGACCCACGGGCGGCTGGCACAGCTGGCTACGACTGGGCTACCGGGACAGCGCCCCGGACTACAGGTGCTGCGGACGACAAGCCGGCAGCCTCCGCTCAACCTCCCGCAAACAGTCCCACCCCCTTGATACACACCCACTGCTACACCGCTAGCTCTACTCCCACGCACCCCCCCTTAAACCCTAAACCCCAGTCTCCCACACAACCACCCCCCTCAGCGACAGCTGCAGCAGTGGGAGACGAAGGAGGAGGAGGAGCAAGGGAGGAAGGCACACCGAGCACCCCCATACCCGCCACCCCACAGCTCGCCCCTCAGGTCGCCTCGACGGGCGACGGGAAATGGGGGGGAGGGGAGAAAGGGGGGGGGGGGGGGGGGGACGGGGCCGGGGCCGCGACGAGGGGCGGGGCCGCGACGGTCGGGGCGGGGCCGCGACATAGGGCGGGGCAGCGACGTAGGGCGGGGCCGCGAATGTAGGGCGGGGCCGAGCCAGGCAGGCGCACGTGCGGCGACGGGCCGGGGCGGGGCCGCGACGAAGGGCGGGGCCGAGCCGGGCAGGCGCACGGGCGGCGATGGGCCGGGGCGGGGCCGCGACGAAGGGCGGGGCCGAGCCGGGCAGGCGCACGGGCGGCGACGGGCCGGGGCGGGGCCGCGACGAAGGGCGGGGCCGAGCCGGGCAGGCGCACGGGCGGCGACGGGCCGGGGCGGGGCCGCGACGAAGGGCGGGGCCGAGCCGGGCAGGCGCACGGGCGGCGACGGGCCAGGGCGGGGCCGCGACGTAGAGCGGGGCCGCGTCGAGGGGCGGGGCCGCGACGTAGGGGAGAAGCCCGCCGCGCGCCTCGGGGCGCACAGCGGGCAATGAACCGCCGCGCGCCTCGGGGCGCACGGCGGGCAGAAAACCGCCGCGCGCCTCGGGGCGCACGGCGGGAGGAGAAAGGTAGCAGCGGAAGCGAGGTGGTAACCCACCCACAGGATCGATCCAAGGGGATCGACCTGCTCTGATAGCATGACAAAATTAGAAGAAAGAAAGAGGATTGAACCAGCAAGAATGAGGATACAAATAGCAAACCCTAGAAGGGTTGTACTCGCTATAGAGCACCCCACTACAGGCTAGAACAATAAGATAATATTCTGACAAACCGCACTCCTAGAAGCGAAGAAACACCCTCAGCTTCAACTCTTTTTTTTTTTTTTTTAGGACAAGTCACCCGAAAATCATGGTTGAGGCAGCAGTCCCGAAGTTATTCTCCGCCGTTCACCCAGCGTCCGCTTTTGTCGGATAAGGTATCGTCGTTGTTGCCCGCGCGAACTCGGCCACGTTGGAGATGTCGAAATATATTTGTCATCTTTTATAACTGCTTGTAGCTGTAGTTAGTGTAGTTATTTAAACTGTGGTTGGTGGTGCACCTTATTTGTTTCCTATGCTATATGTACTTCAAACCCTATAGTGAAACACCATTCTTCCCAATTTCTCTCTTCCAACTCACTCGATACCTCGCCTAGGAGAAACCCGCTCGATATCCTACTTGGGCCTAGGCTACTAAGCCTAGGCCCTACTTAATCTTCTCTCATTCTTCGTTCAACTCTCGACATGTTATCAAAGCGACGTTCGTTCTGGCCTCACGTTTCTGCTGCTACGATTTTCTGGTCGCGCGCTTAGGGCGCGTGACGAATTTTTCCTTGTCCCACCCCCGGTTGGCGTGTGACGCCTTTTCTGCCCGTCGCGCGCCCCGTGGCACGCGACGGTGCCCTTAACCTGCCCATCGTGCGCCCCGTGGCACACGATGGTGCCCTGCTCGTCGTGCGCCCCGAGGCACACGATCGGG